CCACCAGCACTATGAATGTTTCATCGATGTGTTTAATAAAGACGCAAACTGGTTGTGTATTATTAGCTTATGCACATTGTGCTTTCTATACATGTGACTTACATGAGGATTACATCACATTTTATGACCAATTAATGCAGAAAATTTGGTTATTCCAGTACTTTATACCATTTTGTCATCTTAAATGATCAGGAGCAAGCAACCAGAATGTCTGCAAGTGTTGGGAAAGTCCTAAAAAATTAAATGATATAAAGGCCTTAAATTTTCTTGAAAACAGTTAAATGTACTGTTTAAGGTCTTTTACCAGGACTCTCTTGTAAAAGAGGTTTCTAACCTCAGGGATTTTTTCCTTGTAAAAAAAGAAAAAAAAGCCATACATGGCATGGCATTATAATGGTCTTTAAATATTTTCTGTCTGAATTGCTTAAATTTATGGGCTATGTTTTAAATGGCTTTTGATAATTTGAGCCCTTTAGCTGACCAGTAAGGCTCTTTTTTTTCTGCGTTGGTGTAATATTTTTAGGAAGTTACATAGTGGTAGTAGTAGTAGGCCAAAATCATGACATAACTAAACATATGTCAGGGAAGTGATATCATGAGTAATTACTGTAATGAAAATGGCCCTTTGTGTCTCTAGCTGTGGGGTGTATTACAGTTATATGTGTGTCTCCAGTATCAAACAGGTGATTGAGCAGAACCATGGTAAAGAGCAGGTATGTGATGAGCGGGACGGCTGGTGTGTTCTTGGCACCACAGACAAGCTGAGGGATGTGATCTCAGGCATGATTAAGAAGATTATCCGAGCACAGAGGCCAGGTAAGGAAAGTATCCGTTCACAAAGATGTGAACAGATGGTGGTGTTATAACCGGCCAAAATCCTGCCCCATGTCTGAGCTTAGTTTCCACCTTGATATCTATGTTTCTTTGTAAATGCTGAATAGAGCTTTACTTGTATAGCACATTTTTATGCATTACACTGAAAGGGGTTTCACACCGTTTGTCAATTCACACTCCCAATCACGCACATTCACATATCACAGGGAGCAACCTGGGATTCAGTATCTTGCTCAAGGACACTGACATGTGGACTGGAAAAGCTGGGAATCGACCTGCTCTACCTCCTGAGCCACAGTCGCCCCAGGGTTGTACAGGGTTTCATTAGCCAAGTAGCTCCTAACCTTTTAGTCGTGTGGCTCCCTACGGTGAAACAATGGCTAGCAGTGACCCCTCATCATGTCTCATGGCTTTTCAAATAGCCATGAATCAAAGACAGCAATGACAGTGTCTGTCTGTCGGTTGATCCACCACTTTGCTCCAGTGTGAAATATCTCAACATCTGCTAGTTGGATTAAAGTCTATACCGAGATGAACCAGATGAATTTTAATCACTTTGATGAACCTTTAACTTGGCATCTAGTGCCACCATCAGGTCCAAAATCTCTGTTCATAAAAGATCTGGTTCATGATCAAATACCTGATAAAACTGCATTCCCATCATCCACTTTAGCTGTATTTTGTGCTTAGTGCTAATTAGCAAATGTTAGCAAACTAAAACACACGCTGAATAAGGGAAACATGATACCCGCTAAGCATCAGTGTGCTAACATTGTCACTGTGAGAATGTCTTGATGTAGGTAGAAATTATATATGTTTTAAAAAAGGGGCCTGTTGGGCTGCTATCTGATATTGTTTCTCCTTCAGCATTATCAGAAAAATCCTTAAAAAGCAGCAGACGCAAAAATGCAAGTTTAAAGTCCTCATTGAGAGATATGGATGCAGAGGAAGAAGAGGAGGAGAACGAGGACGATGAATTTCAGCTGTCAGAGGGAAGTGAAAATGAGATGGAGACAGAAATTCTGGATTACATCTAAATAAAGACAACAATCTTGATGATCTGTGTTAATATTTAGCATGATTTGTTTTTGTAAGATGTGATATGTGACTTATTTACTTAAATTTCAATAAAGAAGTATTTTTAGGGTTTTGTTTGAGCACTGTATTATTATAATTGAGTCCTAATGCATTATGACTGCAGTCTTTCTTCAGATCACTAAATATCATTAAAAGTCATGAGAGATGCAAAACACTGTCAAATACCTTAGAAATGCTTTGTGCCAGTTTACATGCTGCAAACACTACATCCTTTTTAAACAGTATTAAGAAATTATTTTCCTACAAAACAGAAAACATACATCATTAAAAGTGTAAAAAAAAAACCAAAAGCCTTTTATACAGTCAAAATTAACTGTCCAATAAATATACAAATGGAACTGCACAACTAGAATTTTGCATTTGCGTTCTTTTGGTCTTTACACCTTTGCTTTAAAATTCTACAAGTCAGATGTACTGTGTCCTGGTGGTGTGTCTACCCTGAATGGATTTACCATAAGACCTAATAGAATCTACCGGGACACTGCGTACTCACGGCTACAGGCAAATTTGCCTTCAGAAATCACAGTCAGCTTGAGAATGTATGCATTTTGGAGAACATGATGACATGCCCTACTTAAAGAGGATAAAACCCTTTTAAAAGATAGTTTAGGAGTTCAAAAGTAACAATCTCATCAGGCTACAGAACTTGTTCCAGAGCTCTACATGCTTTCTGCATGTTTTTGTGAACTGCAGCCCAACCAATCTGTTTTTGAGGCTTTGGGCATTGTAGTCAATTCTCTGAAGTTATGATCTTCTCCTGATCATTGACAAGGAAACATGTTTGCCTACATACTGGAGAGCATTCTTGACTTGCTGCACAGTCATAAAGGGGTTTTCCTTCACCATGCAAAGTCTTTTGTTCTTCCATCTGCCTGGCTATTTGCCCTCTTCTACTTTTCCTGTGCGCGCCTTATTTTCTTCATGTTTGCAAACCACATTAGATATTCTGCTAGAACTTTGAGCTTCATTACTTACATGGTAAGCTCTGTACTTCTAATTTTGACAGACAACACCACCTCAATCTACATAAATGGTAACTTTTGTGCCAAAACTGATGAAACATTTAGTAGCCAGGAGTCCCATCACTTGCAATTTGGACACAGTGTCAAAATGGCTCACATATTTCCTTAAATATAGATGTAAACATAGATGTAAAGCTGAGACCTGGTCTACCACTAGTGTCTACCACTTCATGTGGTAGACACTATTTTATTTTAAATTGGACATGCTGAAACACAGAGCTCGAAGAACAAAACTGAGCTGCTGTCTAAATACTTACCATCTGGACTGTATATGGGGACTATGGAAAGGGTGCTGTGTCAGAACAGGTGCTTTGCTTTAATTAAAATGTGTCATAAGTGACTTGAACTGTTGATTATATTTTGAGATTCACTCACTGTAGGCTATGGTAGAGGTATTTATATTACTGGTTTGCAGCATTAGTAGAAACAGTCATGCATAAGACAGGGTTTAGCTTCTGAACTGGCTTCAGCAGTATGACTTTGAGCCCAGCCAGACAGCTGTGTCAACTTGGAGTTGAAGTTGGAACATCAAGTATTAGTCACGTAAGCAGTTTTATTGTAGATGTCTTATTTAATTAACTAAATGTCTCAAAACTATTGTAAAACCAAATGAAAGGCCAACACGAGTCCATGTTTTTATGAACCAAAACCTCTACTCAGCCGTGCAGTCACAGCACAGTTAGCATCCTTACATAAGTTCACTCATGTGAGGTGAAAGTCATGCAGCTTCATTTTTTTTTACAGTTGTAAGAAATTACAAACACAGAATGACCAACAAATCAATTTTCAGATTACACTTTGAGAATTCAAAAGTTCATTGTATGATATAATATAACTGACAGTAAGTACTGGGAAAAGTGCTGTGGACTCAAGGTGGTTAAATATTATGTAACAGTGAGAAAAGTCAAGACAGAGGCTGCACACTGGTCAGATGTTTGGGGGAGGGGTTTCCTTTATAAAACTCTGATCAACAATCAACAGCTTGTCACAGGTTGGTCATGATGGCGAACCTGGGGATTCTGGTTGCTGTTGCTTTGTTTCTGCAGACGGTCTCTGGGGCATCTATAAGTGTCACACAGAAAGACTGATCTCATTGTATCTAAACAACCATATGTTACAGTTGTTTAGTGTGTCTATAACAGTGATTTAGCTTTCTACTAAATTTGTATAGGAACAAAAGTTAAAATGCCACGTTTCTACATTATTAGTAGTGGAATATTTTTTAAATTTCTGTTACATGATTGAAACTTTTTCAGTTTTTTCAAAACATCCGAAATGTCAAATGTTTAGTTCTATGTTTTAAAAAAAAGACTTTCATTCAAATTTTTGGTGGACTAGTACACCAAGTTCTTTTGTGTTTAATTTCTATAGCTTGGCATAGTTGAAACAGAGGGAGGGAAGGTGGAGGGCGAGAACATTCGCCTTGGATTCCGTCGTCATATGGACGTCTTCAAGGGGGTTCCCTTTGCTGAAATCCCTGGAAGGTTTCAGAAGCCAAAGCCTCACCCTGGCTGGGATGGTGGGGACACTGAACTTCTCTTTTACAGGACACCTAGATCAATAACAAAAAAATTACAATGATGATTTGTTGCTCAGGAATTAACAATATAAGTATTTTAGGGGGAGAAGCCTTAACTTTGGCAGCTAGTTCTACCAAGCCTTCTCTTTTAATTTTAATAAAGGCTTTTATTTTTGCATATCTAGGCAGCTTGTTCATGGTATTTTTTAGTGTGAGCACAGTGTCTTAGTCCAAGTGTTTTCTTGTTTTGCTTTAGATGTAAAGGCCTAAACTGTATGATGTAAAGTGTCATAAAAACAAATTTTCTTGATAATTTTTAAGTCTTGTCTTTTGTTAGGTGTTATGAAGACCACTGAGTTCAAGAAACGATGCCTTCAGCTGAATCTTCTCATGACTGACACCAGAGGTAGTGAGGACTGTTTGTACCTTAACATCTGGGTTCCTCACTTTGGCTCAGGTAAGTACTGAGAGAAGGTCACACAGTGTCATCCACATTAGATCGACACTATACTACAACTATCTGTAGTTCTCTTTGTTCTCTAGTGGCTAATGATCTGCCTGTCATGGTCTGGCACTTTGGAGGAGGCTTCCTGGTTGGCGGCTCAATGGGTGCTAACTTCCTGGACAACTATCTGTACAGTGGCCAGGAGATTGCAGAGAGAGGAAAAGTTATTGTGGTGACACTGGGATACCGTGTGGGAACCTTGGGCTTCCTAAGCACTGGAGACTCTGAGCTGCCTGGTAGGTGGCTGTTTATTTTTTCCCCAACAGTCCAACAGTGACAGGATTGTACATACGTCTTCTATGGAACTTTGAACACTCTTTTGTCTGTCTTTTGCAATATGTAAAATGCATTTAACAGATGTATATGGGAAGCAATTAAAGATGACTTCAACCTTCTCCCAGGTTGCTCTGAAGGTCGCCTGCCCCACTGATGAGGGAATGGCTGCCTGTTTGAAGATGACTGATCCCATGCGCCTAACGTTGGCCGGAACTGTCAGCTTGGCTGGCTCCCGCGATTGTAAGGACAGCACTCAGCCCTGTTTGGTTTTATTTTACAAAACTGTTTCCTACTAGAGCAACTTTGTTTGTGTATGAAATGTCCAGTGTGTGTTATGGGTTTAAAGTGCAATGGTACATAATATAGCCAGTAACTGTGTTTTGATCCATCCATATATAATTAAGTCATCTTGCTGCATCCCTTTGTTCTGCAGAATTAAAGCCACCTACAGTTTATATCAAGGCATCCAACTCCTAATCCTAATCCTTGCATAAGGGTTGTGGGTGGAAGTATGAATTAATTAGCTTCTTTTTTTTTTTGCAAATAAAAGAGAAAGTTTAACATTTGCCTTAAATTTGCACGGAAATTTGCCCGGAGAATGTTGATGTTTTGGATTCTAAAACCTTGACCCTGGGTTTGTTGACCTCAAAGAGCTTGTGGTCTCACACTGCCCAATATTTCTGAAATTTGTACTTGCACATACAACAGCAGACTAGTCAGTGGCCGACAGACCAACAACATGCATGGCCACACTTTAAGTTCAAATCATACTTTGTGGCTTTTTAATGGCACTTGCATATTTTATTCAAAATAGCAGTTTTGAGACATTGATTGGTGCTTCCATGTTGGTCATATTAAGAGTTTAATGTTATGAATATACAGATATAGTAGGTAAAGGCATGAATGACAGAAAAAATCTGGGTGCCAATGCTATTTACTGTATGTATAAAACATTCATTTTCTACTGTAATACTGTATATTAAGTGTCTGATTCTATCTCCCTCTATTAGATCCACTGATGGATAACCTGGTCCTGTCTCCTGTGATTGATGGTGACTTCCTGCCAGATGAGCCTTACAATTTGTTCCACAATGCGGCTGATATCGACTACATCGCTGGAGTCAACGACATGGATGGGCACATCTTCACGGGTGTAGATGTTCCTTCAGTCAACACCCCACTGGTGGACACCCCTGTGTGAGTTCAAGCTACTTGATCAGTGTGACACACTGACAATTCACAGAGAGCAATCTGACGTACCTTTGTGAGAACTGTGGAGCCACTAACATTTTTGATGTTTTATCAGACCTTACTCATAAACCATCTCTTCCTGATTTCAGTGAAGATGTGAAGAGACTCCTGGCTTCATACACTAAGGACAAAGGGAAGCCTGGGCTGTACAATACACACAGTATAGAGACCGGTTTTCATCAGAATTAATTTGACAGTTCTAGGTGAAAGGTTAACCAATCAGAAGCGTTGTCCCGTTATATAGTGAATAAAACAAATGGTACATACAACTAAAACAGAGTTGAGTGGATATTTAGCTTCAAAAATGACAAGACAACAGATGTCCCCCTTTGAGTTAAGGTGTGTGAAACAGCCATTATTATCTAGTGTCAGATGAATAAAACACAAATTGGACATGGAGCTAGACCAGAGTTGGCCAGATATTTAGTTTCAAAAAGGAGACCCCTGGGGAAAGATAATCCTGCGATGGTCCAGAGGTATTTATTGGGGGGTAATTATTTAGATGTTTAAAACAGAGAGCCTAACACCATATGTTTGTCATCAGGCAAAGCTGTGTTTTCGTGAGAGAGGTGCAAAAAAAAAAACCCTCAGGGCTAAATACTCAGACACAAGTCTTACACATAGTCAGTGCAGCTCTTCAGACTTCGAGATGAATCCAGGTATCCTCTTGAAAAGAAAAGAGTAATACACTTTTTATTTTATGTTTTACGAAAGTGTGTATGTTAACCGAGATCATTTCATTCATTCATTCATATCAGAGTAAGCTTATCACGGTAGTAATGACATGAGCCCCGGAGAGCCGCTCAGTAAGTATTCTGCTACGTTTTTACAACTCCTTGTGTGTATATATTAAATATATTTTGAAAAAAAAAAGTTTTTACCCTTGTGGGTAAACAGCTATTTGACGGCGTATGAAGAAGCTTTACGCCAGGAGCAATCTTTGGAGAGCCAGAACCACGAGGTGACCGGTGAGTTTAAAAGAGTGTTTAAAATATACAGTGCCTTGCGAAAGTATTCGGCCCCCTTGAACTTTGCAACCTTTTGCCACATTTCAGGCTTCAAACATAAAGATATAAAACTGTAATTTTTTGTGAAGAATCAACAACAAGTGGGACACAATCATGAAGTGGAACGAAATTTATTGGATATTTCAAACTTTTTTAACAAATAAAAAACTGAAAAATTGGGCGTGCAAAATTATTCAGCCCCCTTAAGTTAATACTTTG